GCAGGGGGTTTCCCCCAGCAGGAGCATCCATCAGGGTGTCAGACACTCAACAGTCACACCTTTGCCATGCCCCTGTTGGTTTGGTGTTCAAGTCATATGGACCTTGGTCCAGAAGAAAGGAAGTCCCTTCGTTGTGGCCAAAATGTTACATGCTGGTGTCGAGGGTCCTTGCCTTCACAGGCCAGAGAACTGGCTGGTGAGGCAGCTGAATGAGCCAAAGCTGGTATATAAAGTAGGATTCATTAGAGAGAATGGAAAGGCTACAGCTAGAGAAGTGCAGTGGAGCCCAGAAGCCATTAGCTCGCTGCTCAGGTGAAGGCTGGGGTTTTTATGGACGTTCTAGCTCTGGGTTAGGTGGGTCTGTTTGTCTCTCATTGTGGTGGGGGGGGAGTGAGGGGAACAACCTTGAGAGCTGTTTGCTTATCAACCCCATGGCAGATTTATGGGACTCTGTATCTCTTCTTTAGGATGCAGGAATGCAGGCTTCTAACTCCTCAGGATGCAGGAATGATACTGCTCTCCATGGGGGCTGGGATATTCACCCATCTGTCTTAGGTCTCCAGACCCAACAATTAATATTGCAATTCACATACCATTACTGTAATGCTGGAAAACCTTTCTGTTTAACTGTTCACATTCCCAAATAAAAGCTGTATTTATCGGTGGGCATAGTGAATTAGAATTCACGAGTCCTGTCTAGTTTTTTATTAGAAGTTTTATTAGAAGAACAAGTACAAACGTCCAATTTCTGTCCCTCAAGTTTGCACAGAGGATTGGCTCAGTTCCCCAAGAAGAGAGTTGTTGCTTTTTCTTTTGTTCTTTATTTTGTTTTGTTTGTTTGTTTTTTTGGATATACTGAGGATTGAACTCACAGTCTTACACATTCTAGACAAGCCTTCTACCACTTGAGGTACTCCACCACTGCTGTTTTATATTGGATATTTTCTTTTTTTTTTTTTTCCTTTCTGAATTTTTAAGTTCTCTCTGTTGGAAGTCATCCAACAGATGACTTCCATAAAAAAAACATTAATTACTTTTTCATGTAAGAGCACAGCCAAATAATAAAAATACTTAACATTTTCCTATAAAATTTATCACCCAAAAGGGAAAAGGTTTTATACTTTAACACTGTACAGCCATCTGTTACTCAGGAGACCCTCCAGGCTAACTGTTTTATCTTCCCTGTGGTGACATTTTTTAAAAAAAGATAGCACCAAAAGGTTTTCCTTACTTTTAAAAAGACTAGGGCTCTCTTAATTACAAATTTTCTTCTAAGTTCTTTAATTCTGATGAAGAAATCATCTGGCAATCCACTTCTTAAAAAACAGGAAGTGCCATCATATTCCCTTTAAATTCAAGCCTATTCCATTCTCTTCTAAGCAAAAATAGAAAAGATGAACACAGTTGCAAGGAGCTTTATTAAGCAAAAACTTTCACAAAAATATAACTGTAAACAGGATCATTTCAATGCCCAGAGTGTTACGGCTGTTTTCAATAAATGGCAAATTTTAACAGTTCCAACTATAGGTACACAGGGTATAGATAGCCCAAAGGCACAAGTATTCCAGAATCAACTAATAAAGATAAATTTTAAACCCATTTTTTCAAAAGTCCTTTGTGCTCTACAGTTTTTAAATATGATCAGAAAATTGAAACTATAATCATCTAAAACTTTGACTCTATTCTAAAAGTAACTACAGTTTAAATGTTTGACACTGTAGTCTCAATATTTAAAAATGCCTAATAACCTTCACAATGTAAACAAGCCTCAAATTTCAAAATAGAAAAAAACTGTAAAAGATTTCTGTAAACATTAACAATCTACCTGCAACCAGGTGCTGGTGTCTGATGCCTATAATCCTAGCAACTCTAAGAGGCAGGGTTCAGGAGGATGGCAGTTTGAAGGCACCCCTGGGCAAATATTTTGGAGACCATATTTCAAAAAAAAAAAAAAAACCCCATCTCAAAAAAACACTTGTGGAGTGGCTGAAGTGGTAAGACTGCCTCCTCCCTAGAAGGCATGAGGTCATGAGTTCAAACTTCAGTACTGCCAATAAAAAAAAAGAAAGAAAGAAAATGTACCTAGTAAAATTACAGATGTGTTAATGCAGGCATATACACTGAGAAATCTTTGATAGTTTTGTTTTGCATGTTTGGTACATCATCTTATAAATGAGACATCTGAGTTTTCAATGACTGCTGCCTGTGGAGCCAGTGGTTTTATAATCAGTTTAACTGTTTTTGCTCAAGTCACTATTTTATCCTTCCAAGATTATATAATGTCCCTAGAAATAGACATCACCTAATTCTTTCTGTAGCAAGAGAGTGTTGTTTGCATCATGGCCACATTTGATCAGTTTTGTAAAGTAGGTGTACCTTATTTATAGCTCTCAGGTACAACTCATGACTACCAAGGATATGCAGCTTTACAAATGTTTTCATTCTCTGGCAATTTCCCCATCACTTTTATGCTACTTTCAAGTTTGACATGTTTAAAAGATAAAGATCATCTCTGATAGTTATTTGAGTCAAGAATAGATTGTTTTAGATACTACAGCTTTCATTAATACGCTTAAGTTAAAACTCTGAACTTGGGATAAATTAACAGTGGTTTGTGATGTTGCAAAGGGAGAGGCTAATTTTAGTAATTCTCACAAGTATTTAAACACTAATATTATATAAAATAAAAAAGAAAGAAGCCTTTAATGTTTGTTTGTGTGTGTGTGTGTGTGTGTGCGCGCGCGCGTGTGTGTGTGTGTGTGTGTGTGTGTCTGGGCCTTGCTAGGCAAGAGCTAGGTTGCTCTGTGGCTGAGCTACACCCCAGCCCTATCTTTCCTTTTGTAGTTTCCTCCATTATCACATTCCTCTATGCGACCTTACATACACATTAGTATTTAACATTTAAAAACCAACTTAAAACTCATCAAATTAAAATCAGCTTGTTTTTGGAATAAACAATCACTTCTCTATAGAGAAGGGCCCAGTGGGTATCAAACAGCACATGTTTTGTGTCATGTTTCTAACATTAGGGGATAAAAACATAAAGCTCCAGTTAGAGCAGAGCTAATGACTTTTTTTCACATTTCACGCTCAACTTTGACAAATATATTTTATATGACACCAATATATTTTAAATGACACCAATGCTATCTAGGTAAATACTTACAAGGATGTGACCATTAATTATGCAGCTGCTTGTAATGAAAGTGTAGGCCATTTCCTGCACTCCCTCCTCAGACCAGAGATTTTTACCAGATTCATGACCTTTGTCCTCTGGCAGTGCTTCCCCACCCCCACTACTTCTACAAAGTGCTCTTTAGAAAAAAAAATGGTACATTAATTCTTTGAAATGCTGTAGTGTACATTTTCTTGGTATTTTTCAAAAGCTGTTATTCTCACACCAAGGTTTCTTAATAAGTTCTGCACACCTCATTTATACACGTGGTATTAAATGAGAATTTGCATATTGCATTTGTTTTTTCACTCATAATATCCCTTTTAAAATTTGAATTCTTCTGAAATGAGTTTAAACCATTAATTAGATGTTCCACTGAATATCTTCCATAATGAAAGACACATTTTGATAATTATGCTTTCAGAATCTCTCTTTGTCCTTCATATTCATTTTACTTAGGGTATACACAAACATTTAAATGTTTTCATCCAATGTTGGCTCAGTAACATTGAAAATATCACAGTGTTCAAGTAGTATTAGACAAATACAGCCTGGCAAGGATATGTTTCCATATAGGTCAATTTGCATAGGAAAAGTGTCTCAATGTATCTGCAGTATTTCTGACCAAAAACAAAACCCTTAGAAAGATTTTTTTTTCCCTTATGATATATAGCATCCTTCCAAAGGTGAAGAAGATATTGCATCTGTCCATGAGATGTAGATACAGGGATGAAAAAAAAGCTTTACCTAAATCAGAGAAAAACACATGGTACAGTGGTACTATTCCCTTTTTTTTTTTTTTTTTTTTTGGCACAGAGGCCCATTGACACATCATCTACATAAAGACTAGAATTCAGTGTCTGTGACACCTCATGGACTTTTTTGTTCACATCACTGGAGATGACATAGCCAGTGCCAGCCCCATAGTCAGTGTAGTTGGCCACTGGTTCATTTCCTAGCAAACATAGTATTTGATGCTTTTAACCCTAATGGGAGGGGACGAACAATGAACATGACCAATCCAAAAGTCTTCAACACCTGTTTGTTCTAACCCATGATGGGATTCAATAAGATTTGGCATGTGAATAAATGTGTCATCAGCAGTCACCACAAGTTTGCCATGTGGACAAAGGAATGTGCCCGGTTGAACTGCAGAAGTCTTTAAGAGTAAGACTGTAGAAAGAATTGATAAAGTCTTGCTGAATTATATCACTGTACACTTGGTTTTTTTGCAGTTCTCCATTGAGAGAAGGGGGAGTACCTAAGGCAACCAGAGTTTTGATGCAGCATTAAATTAAGGCCAAACAAAGTTCTAGTTGCCCCACATTTTTCTAATGGCAGAAAGTCACTCATAGTTCTCAGGAAGAGTCTTTTCAAATAGTAAAAGGAGGCCATCTTGACCTTGAAACTTCTCCTTGTGGTTAACCAAGAATGGGTGGGGAGCTCACTCTGAGCTGTCATTAGAGACAGGGTATCAGTCACAAAGTCATAGCTATTTACAAGGTGTCTGTAAGAGCAGGACTTCTTGTTTTTCATAACTAGATTGTGAGTCAGTCCCCTAGAACCCATCAAGCTTAGTATGAAACAAGTGTAGAATAAGTAAAAAAACTGGCAACTTTTAGTCTTCTGTCACTAACCAACATCCCATGTCCACTTGCAGGTATTTCTTTTCAAGAACCATATTAAATGGACTCTTGCTTCTTCAAGAACATAGAACTTTCTATTTTGCAGAACTTGTATGTGTAGTCATTTAAAATGGAAACGGATCTTCTTCATCCATGTGTAAATTTCTTTTCATGTCTTTATCTCTGAGATAGCAAAAGAATGGAACATACTGTAGAATGAGGAAATTGGCACACAGCAGCAGCCTTCCACTCTGGCATTCTTCTTGGAGTTTTAAGTGTGGACTCTGCCCTTTCTGTGAACACGAACTGCAACTATGTAGTATGCCACAGGCAGAGATGGTCCAGAGTGTAGATCCTCCATCAAAGAATCAGTAAGTGTTTTGGTGCAGGGTGGAAACTAGACCAAGTTCAACTCTTGCTCCCCAGAAGTCCCAGTTAGAGGTCCGCTTTCCTCCCTGAGGCAGAGAGCAAGTCACTGATCTCAAAAACAAAAGCTTCAGGCTATAAGTGCCAGGTGAAACCTGGACAGCCAGAGCCTGCTGGGGTTGCCTTCTTGTAGGGAGCCAGCTGCAGAGGCCAAGGAGGGCAGGCCAAATCAGGGGACCTGGACAAGGCAGGGACACTGTCACAAGAATTTGTGTTACGTATTTTTCAGTAGGGTCTCATGAACTGTTTGTCCCTACAGGCTTCACACTATGATCCTCTTGATCTCTGCCTTCTGGGTAGCTAGGATTACAGGTGTGACCCACTGTCACAGCCTTTAGAAGGAACTTGTGGGCAGGTGTTAAGTAGTAGCTGTCAAACCAGCTCTTAGAGTCTCATCATCCAGGAGATATTGTGGGTTCCTCAAATCAGTAGACTCCATCGAATGAGCATGTCAGAATACAGCAAACATGCAGAGGGAAAACACATGTGGAGCTAATAGCTTATTGTTTCCTCAACTATTTGAGAAAATCAAGCCATTTTTCCACTTAGGCCAGTGAGGTGACCATCCCAATATTTCCCAGATACCAGAAGCAGAGAAACTTCTGTGCAGCGCGTGTCAGGACAGTTGGTGTGAACTCTGTTGTGAGGTCTAAGTGATAGGAATTGTTACAGAGTTGCTAGTGTCCCAGCCTAGAAAAAGAAATTAGAGTCACCCATTCACACACAGGGCATCCATATTCTTCTAATGCTTTGCCAAATCATTCCAATGTAGTGTCATTGCAGTGTGATAAGATACAAGAGTGGATGGAGTGTAAGAGTGTGATGACCATAAGTGGAATGATCATTTGGGAAACAACATTGAGTCAATTTGTTATGAACTGAGTCTAGACTCCAGCATGTGAGTCTCACCCTTCCACCTAGAAATGTATGTGAGGTGTTTTAGGAGTTGGTGACTTTTGAGGATGTGGCTGTGAACTTCACCCTGGAGGAGTGGGTTCTGCCAGATCCTTCCCAGAAGAAGCTCTACAAAGATGTGAGGCTGGAAACCTTCAAGATCCTGGCTGCTGTAGGTAAAGGCAGTACCATTCATTTACTTAGTCAATCAGAGAGCAAGTGTTTCTTTGATATCGGTGCTGTTGAATCATTTGGATTATGAGAAATGAACATTTTCATGAAAATAGCAATAGGCAAATGTCTTCACACCATGAATACAACAGGTTCAGTAATTTTCCTGCCGTGTTGAAATAATTAATACTGATTTTCTTTGATCTAAATTTTAGGGAAAACATTGGAAGAACAAAACACCGAAGATGACTACAAAAACTTCAGGAGAAATCTAAGGTAAATTCAACACACAGAGGACAGCAATGTCTCTTCAGAATATAGCCCATTTTAAAAAGAAGGAAATGATGCAAATACTTCCAGCTTCAAATTGGCTTAATCTCAGAAACTTTCCTCCAAAACTTCATATGGGTTGAGCATGCATAATCAGAAAATGCAAAATCAAATTGTTCTAATATGAGAAACCAGAGATCTGAAGTACCACAATGACTCCTACAAGTGTCATTTTGTCAGAGTTTTGCTATATAAAAACTGTGCTCCATTCACAATATTAGTTAAAATGTATTAATAAGCTTTCTTAAGACTTTGGGTATAAGGAGTGAATCACACAAAAATAAATTTCTATTAAGATTGGTACTGATTAATAATATTACTGTATGTCATATAGTTCATTGTAGATATGGAAGTACTTCAGAATCCAGCATGCTTCCTGTGATCTAGCACTGTGAATCAGAAAACAGGCAACCTTTCTAAATAGGACATAGCCATTCAGTGCTTGCCAGATACCTGTGTGGGAGACTGTTACAGTACTGTGCATGAATACCATGAATACATGGACATAACTGTCCATGTGTAATGTTGCAGGGAATTCAGTCTGATAAGGACCAAAATTCTTAGAGAAAGACTCTGTGTGTGTGTGTGTGTGTGTGTGTGTGTGTGTGGTAGTTGTTGGTGTTTGAACTCAGGCCCTCTGGCTTGTCACCCCAGCATCCTACCATATTACCAAACCATGTTCAAAAATTTTTAAACATCATAAAGTCAACATGTTTTCAGGTGAATCATTAACAAATGAACATTAATAATGCATTTCATCTGGATGACTTTGTATCAGGCCTATAATCCTTGTTACTGTGGAGGCAGACCAGATCAGAGAGAAAATAGAGGTTCCAGGATAGTCAGGGAAAATAGTTTATAAGACCCTATCTCAAAAAACACCCAACCAAAAACGGACCAGCAGAGTGACCCAAGTGGTAGAGGGCTTGTCTAGAGGCATGACACCTTGAGTTCAAACACCAAATAGAAACAAATAAATACTAATGTGTTTCTCATTTTTTATAGAAGTGAAGTGGCTGAGAAATTCTTTGAACATAATGAAGAAAGTAATCGTGTTGACTTCTTCACCCAGACTGCAGTGCATATTGTGAACCAGAAAGCTCATCCAAGAGTAACACCATACAAATGCCACCTGAGTGAAAAAGTCCTTTTTACTCATCCATCAGTAAATGTCCCCCACAGAACTCTTATGGGTCACACACCACATGAGTAGGAGGAGTATGGAGAGAAGTTGTAGGAACACAAGAAGCATGGGCAGCCTGCTGCTCTCCCAAATGCCTGCAGAAGCATGACATGACTCTAACAGGAGAGAAGCCCCATGACAAACACTGTGATGGTGACTTTAGGTGTCACACTTCCTGTCAGGTACATGAATGGACTCCTATTCTATAAACCACGGGAATGAAAGCAGTGTGGGAAAGGTTTTCTTCCACTTATTTCTGAAGGCATGCAAAACTGCATAAAGGAGAAAAACCCTATGTATGTAAGCAATGTGGAAAGGCTTTACTCCTTCTGATTGCCTTCAATGACATGGAAGAATTCATGCAGGAGAGAAGCATGTGAGCATTGTGGGAAAGCCTTTGCCTATTCCAGATCCCTGCTGACACATGGAGAGGAACCCTGTGTATGTAAGTCTTGTGGGAAAACCTTTGTGTCTTCAAGTCGCTTTCAAGCACATGTAGATGTCACTATGAAGAGAGCCCCCATGTGTGTGACAATATGACAAAGCTTTCATTTGGAGCAGCAGCTTTCAAAGATGTAAGTGAAATCACAGTGGAGAAAATGTCTGTATCAGTAAACAGTGTGAGACAACCTTGTCTTATTTGCATGGCCTTCAAAGACATGAACAAATATACATTGGTGAGAAACCCTACGAATGCACGCAATGAGGAAAATTCTTCATGTGCTCTGATTCCTTTTAGAAACATGGCAAGCTTAGGCTGGGGTGAATTCCTAAATACAGATGTGGGAAGGCCTCACTCTCACATGAACTTTGTATGAAACATGACACTACCTTGGAAAAGGAAATGAGTATAATGTAAAGTGTGGGAAAGTATATACTCACCCCAGTTAATTCAAGAACATTAAATAGCATACTATGGTGAGAAATCCTGAGTAGATACATGTTGCAAAGTCTTAACATAGCCACCATCTATGACGGCATCCTAGATCAAAACGTTTTGAACGCAAAGACAATAGCAAAGTTGTCATTTAGAAAAAATTACATTCAGCTGGGAACCTGTCATGCACAACTGAAATCCTAGCTACTCAGGTGGCAGTGATCAGGAGGTTCAAGTTTCGAAGCCAGACCCAAGCAAGTTGCTTGGAAGACCCGATCTTGAAAATACCTATTAGAACAAAGAGCTGGCAGAATGGGAGGAGCTCAAGTCATAGTGCACTGGCCTAGGAAGCCTGTGGTCCTGACTTCAAACCCCAGTACTACCAAAAAGAAATGTGTATAGGTGTAACTTAAGTGCAAGTCTCCTGAGATCCTGAATTCTTAGAATGCTGTAGAAATTGTAGAACCTGAAGGAAATGTTTTAATTGCTCTATGTGTATTTTATCATCATCTGAATTTTTTTGTGGCAATGCTGTTTTTTGTCAGAACCTCATGCTGGTTGTGCAGATACTCTACCATTTTCACAGCTGTAGTGACTCAAATTTTGTTGTGGGGCAGTTGAATTTAGGGTTTCCAGCTTGCAAAGCAAGCACTTGACCCACACCTCCAGTCCATTTTGGTATGACTATTTTGAAGATGGGTTCTATTGAACTATTTCACTGGCCTGGCCTTCAACCTTGATCCTCCCCAATCTCAGCCTCCCCAGAAGCTTGGATTACATATGTGAACCCCAGGTGCTTATAACTCTGGCTCATTCTTAAAGTAACTCTCTGAACTATTTGTTTTCTCCCTTGAAAAGAAATGTTGTAGTGACATAATTCTGTCCTTTTATTCAAAGTAATTTAATAGTTTCATAGGTTTTTTTCCTCTTTTGTTTTGAACCATGTTGATCAATGTGTAAGCCTAGATTTTTTTCTGATTTGCTGAAAGACTTAGTTTTTATGTATTTTTGAGACACTAATGTTTAAAGGTCAGCAAAGAAGGAATTTTTGTTAAATGTTGGAATTTAATTAAATGATACCTTTGTATTACTTGCTCTTTTTTGTCATTGTAAGCAGTTATCTCAGTGAAACAACTGGAAGAGGGAGAATTTATTTGTCTTCAGGGTTTCACAGGTGTCAGTCTACTCTCCAGAAACTGTGTGGGTGATGCATCTTTCCCTTACTGAGAATATGTTCCTCTTTTTACTTGCTATTTCTCTATTGCTCTCTGCCCTATGTCCAGTACATCAGTGAACATGAAATAGCAATTCTAAATTCCCCTGTTCAGAAGGGTGAGTGTGCCTCAAGCATCCATTCTTGGAAAGCACCTTGTAAATGATGCACCTCTCACCTTGAAGAACTGATTGTGCTTTTCTACCTCTTAATCTCCATTGCTCATTTACATGCCTGTGTACAGAATGACAAAGAAACATGAAATTGTAATTCCCGTATGCACAGAGTCATAACCTGAGCTGTGGCACAAGCATCCTTTCTTCACAGCACCTTGTAAATGAGGCATCTTTATCCTACAATGAATCATTTCTGTTTTTCACAGCACTTAGTCTACATGGCTATTATGGGTCAGCACACATTATGTCAGAATCAGGTAATAGTAATTATAAAACCCACAGTTAGAAGGCTGAATGTAAGACACAAGTTTCCAATCTGAAAGTTGTTTTGAGTGATGCATCTTGGCCTTAGTAACAGCAGAGTCTGCATGTAGGGCTCATATTCTGTATTGTTCATTAACAGCTTTTAATCAGTATTGAGAGTCGAGGACTTTTGAGCTAATGTCTGGACCTCATGTATTAATGCCCCTCTAGACGGGGTGTGTGTAGTGAGATTGGTATCTCTTGCACAACCTCATTCTGAGGTGAGGATGGAAGAAGAAGAAAACCCTCAGCAGCTGATGATGCTGTGATCTTGGGCTTCCCCAACCCCAGATCCTGTTAGTAAAGAAATTTCTAGTGTTTTCTTTGTGGTTCATTTCTGTTTTTTAATTTGTTTTGCTCTATTATGATTTCAACTACATCCTCAGGGTTTCTAGTTAAGTGCTCTGCCACTTGAGCCTCACTCCCAGCTTAAGTTATTTTTTTAAACTACGCAAGATTTGTTATTTATATTCACACAATATGGATTAAGACAAATTCTGAATGGAAGAAAGAGATGTGAGTACATGGACAATGACTGGAAGTGGCTTTGGAACTGGGTTATGGACAGATTCTGGAGTAGTTTTGATATGATTACAGAAGAAGTGTTTATTGTTCTGAATCAAACATGAAGAACAATTCTGCTGAGAGACAGGGCAAAACAGCTGTCAGGATACTCTGAGTTCCCTTCATAAGTGGGTTTGAATAGAATGCAGGTAGTGGTAAGGACAGCATGGGGCACTGTCAGAAGGCCTCAGAAGTGAGGAGGTCTTCTCAGAAACTGGGATGGAACTGACAATCCTTATTACCATGTGGCAAAAAATTTGGTTGAATGATTTCTGTGTCCTAACACAGAAAGGAGAGGAGAACTTCTGAGTGATGAGGAGGATGTTTGGTGGAAGAAATCTGAGCTGTAGTGTTGGCTTGGTGATGTTTTTTCTCTCTCTGGCTTCTAGAAAAAAGATCAAAAGAAAGAATTCCAATAAAAATGGATGTTATGCTGTGTGCAGTGATACATGCCTGTGATTTCAGCACTGCAGAATTTCAGGTCATCTTGGGCCACATTTAAATTCCTTGCCACTCCTCCCCCAAAATTCTGATATCCAAGGGAAAGTAGAAGGTAAAGATCTGAAAACTCGCATCCTAGCTGTGTAGGATAACAAGTATTGTGTCTAAGAAACACTGTTTATGTGATTTCATGAATGGAAAGAAATCACATGTTCTTACATCATGCCTTAGAGGAAGAGTTTTCTTCTTATTTCTTAGTCCCCTCTGTCCTACAGGACTAAGAAGAAAACAGAGCCATTGTCCTTTGTCCTGTGCTCCTCTTAGACCAACATTCTCCTCCTTGCTCCTTCCTTAAGTCTTTGAGGCTCAGTCCTTTCCCATCAACCATTACCTTCCTGTGACCATCATTTTCAGAATTCTTCCTAGCCACTTTTTTTCTTTCATTAAATTTTGTATTCAACACACACAAACACAAAATTGGCCTCAATATCTCCATTTCTTTTTACATTCCGGTCATTCTAGGGGGATTTGGCTCTCAGACACTTCCTTTCACAGTGACATTTCTTCTGTACCCATTCCCAAATCCCACATGCATATACCCTTCTCTTCACCTCAACTCCCCAGTGTTTTGGTACTTCCCACTGCAGGACATCTGGGTCTTATATCACATTCTTATCATCAAACAACTCATTTATCGTAACACTTCCCTTCCTTTCTAGCTTAGATATCCTGATCCATTATTAGTTTCTCCCTTCCAAATATACTCAGTGGTCTTGTCCTCTTTCTCTCCATATTGTATAAATTTGTAAAATTTAATTGGCTTTTCTTGCCATTTCAGTGAATGGCTACCTAGCTGAAGACAGGATCAAATATGTGATGGCAAATAGTTTCTCAATGTGACTTCATCATTCTATATGTTTTTGCAAAATTTTACAAATTTCTCTTTTCCTTCTCTTTTCTGCTTATTAACCAGTGTCATGAACATTGAAATCAAAGGACACCAAATTTCCCTCATCCTCAAAGTTGCGGATACAAACATATTGGAATCCCCTTTTTTCTTATTATTAAAGTGAAGGAAATATATCTTCTTTGTTCAAGTGTTGGTTTCTCCATACCTAATCCAGATGTCTCCCGTCTCACTTTATAATATCTTTGCTGATTTTCTAGTACTGTTTCCCCTTATCAGTGTTTCCCTAAATGAGCTTTCCCACCTCTGCACGTCCTTGCCTCAGCATCCCCTCCTGCCCCATTCCTCCACCCTTTGCAGAGCCCACAGGTGACCTGTAAATGCTACTTCCACATTATCACTGAATTCATTCAGTGCTCTCAAATGGATTGTACTCCTGCCACTTCACAAAAACTGCTTTTGTGAAGACCACCAACTTCATGGTTCCAATTGCAAAGATTAATATCATGCTCTTTTCTGAACACAGTATCTCATGGCATCTTTAGTACAACAGGACCCCAGTTCTCTACAGTTGCCCAATGCAGTGAATATATGAATGAGAGAACCCTGGTTGTGAGTGCAGATTTCTGCTGGTTCCTGAGATGCACATTTCTGTTGGAGACCTCCCAGTAACCACAGGACAGACAGGGGCCTCTGTTCTTCTCTGACCTCCTTATTCAAACATGTGCTTGGGCCTCACTTCTCCTAACTGAGATGTAAAGTTAAGACTCTTGAAGATCTATCAGCATAGGGAATAGGTATAAATAATCTTAGCTAAAAGCTTAGGAATATCTAAGGAAAATGAACCCATAACAACTCAAGCAAGCCAAAACTCTTGTGTGTACACATGACTCATCAGAAGCTGGAGGTTCCCTAACTTGATTCTGAAGGAATGGTTTGTGATTCCACTTTACCCAGTAGAGATCTCCTTTGGGCAGATAATTACACAAAACCTAAGTGCCTACTTTAATTGTTATGATCAGTACTGTGCCATTTCTCCAACTTTCATTCTTACATGTGACGGTCAGTCCAGGCCAGATTCAGGTGGCCAAGGGAGTTCTGGAACATGTAGGGAAACTAATGTGAGGGACAGACCATACAAGGCCATGAAGGCCACTTGAAGAGCATGTTTCTAGGGCAATGGGAAACCCTATAGGATTTTAATTGCATGCAGAAAGAAACTGATATTCCATTTGTGGATATTTCATGGGTATTTTAGTTGTTTCTCATTTGGGGTACCCATGAATGTCTACCACATTCTCTTATCACGTGACTTTTCAAACAGGATTCTAGTATATTCGTGTGATTGATCTACTCAATGTCCCTTCATGTTTATCATGATCTATCCTTTCTCGCTTGACCAGACATCCAGTGGATCAGGCTCAATATTCCAATCTTCTTAGAAATGAGTAATATCAAGAAATAGTATTCAATGGTCCAGCCTTCAAGCATTTCTTGGATTTTCTGACTACGAGAGCATTCCCCATCTTTAATATACCTAAGGATCCACATCCACTAGTTATCTCCTAAGATGTAATTGAGTATTTTCCATAAACACATTCCAAAGGCTTGGGTCAGAGTCCTGAACTGCAACTCACTTTGTCCTTTTGTTGAGTAGGTTCTGTGGCTAGTTATGGAGAATAGCAGTAAAGAAAATATCCTTGGAATTCACCCCAAACATCACTATCTATGGTGGAAGACCATTTCAAATGGAGAGTGTAGATGAAGGGATGGGAGCTTCAGAATGACTCAATCATGGTCCGGGTAGACTTTTGCAAAGGGCGTGCAGCAAGACACCCATGGATCCTGGCAACTTGGGATACTGAGGTGGGAAGGACCACTGTCTGAAGCTCAGCCCAGTCAATTACTTTGGAGGTGTGGTTCAAGCAGTAGAATTTCTGCTTTGCAAATGGGAAGACCAGAACCAAACCCCAGTGGCCTCCCCCAAAAAAACCCAGTGGTATTTCATGGCTGATTATGATCCAACTGTAAAAATACTTGTATGCAGAAAATGTAATTCTCCTCACCATAGAGGCCCTGGTGACAGCCATCAATTGGAAGGGGAAGAAAATCCCAGTAGCTGAGTGAAACAAGGGAATTTCACATTGGATTAGTCTTTTTGCACAGCAGTATTTTTACATGAAATAAAGAGTTAGCTGGATTCTTCCCAATCTGAAAGGAGTACTTATTTAGCTATTAAAACATCCATATAAAGTATCTTGGGATCTCCCTCATC